ATCTTCCTCTTACTAAGCATCACGGTTCGCACCGTGACACTGACACCTCTTAGCTATCTAAACTAGTGAGATCCGCCAGCCACTACTCTAAGTAGTTACCAATTAGACTAGAAGGTTATAACGAAGTCAATTTATAGAATAAACTTAGTTACAAGAAATATTATAGTTCTCTACACTCTAGGATTACCCTAGGTATAGACCCTTCCTTAGGCCTAGACTACGACATCGCCCGTCCACGGTAGGCGGTGGGCTATTTGGATTTTCGAGTGCCCATCTATAACGCCTACGGCCCACGGGTATACCTATCCCGGGTATACCCACTATACCTACCATCATATAAAGTTACCTAAAATAGATATATAACTCGCTAACTTATTATATTAAATGGCTATTATTTTATACCTTTTTTAATAAATCTATATAAAATCGCGGTTTAATATCTATGTATATAAGAAACTAATATATGTACAATAAGACTTAGAATAGATTTTTAATCAAAATATATATTATATAACATAGTATATTATTAACTTGTTTAATTATACTATAATAGTTTAAAGATATATATTTAAGTTGGTGGTATATACCTACTATTTTCTACGAGTAAAATATTACTTGTAGATTCTACTTTATCTCTTACTCTAGTATATTTCCTAATTTTATAAGCTTACACTACTAAATTCTATTAATTATATCACTAAATAGCTACGAATCCTATAGCATTATATCTAGACTTTGGCAAAACACAATTTCATGAACCCAAAAATGCAGTTTAGGCAAAAAATGCCAAGACCTGCCTAAAGAGGTACCTTTATGCTGATTTATGCAGGTTGGGATCCGATGGGTCCTTGGCATGCCAAGAATTGGGTTTTGAATGGGGTTTGCCGAAGTCTGATTAAATACTCTGAATTCTCTCACTATCTAAAATGACAAAATCTCCTTGTCCAATCTATGCGGACAAAACTAACTAAACATAACCTACAGTTTATATAGACTACGCCATTATGGCGGTCCGTATCCTTTTTCCGGGTATTCCACCCTATATTCAACCATGCATGGTATCAAGGGTTAAAATTCATAGACGGCTCGCTTGTGGTGGCGGCTGTCTTGTGAAATACGTCACCACAAGGGCTAAAAGTGAAGTCGAGAGCACTTGATAAGAAATTCGAAATTAAGCTTTGCTTGTAATTTGTTGTTAATCATACAAAATTCTTATCAGGGTATTTGTGAAAATCAAACACATGGCAAAGTCAAACAAATATACCACAGATGAAAGAAATCAGGATGCCAATAGGCTTAGAGATGCTTAGAAGAGGGGTAGTTAGGCTTAAATGCACTTGCGTTATGGTCATGGCTGTGCAAAAAGACCAATTCGCTAATCACACATGATAGGGACATGAAGAATTGCAAAGAACAAAGATGTGAGGATACTGGCCGGTTGGTAGCATAGGTGAATGTGTGCCACTGAGCGTGATGGGAACAAAGCTAGGAGAATATTGACCAGTTGGCGGGTCAGATCATGAAGCACCACCGAGTACGATCGAAACAAAGGAAAGCCTGTCAGGGCTTTGCTCCCTGGCCCTTGCGCTTATTTGGCCACAACTGACCACGGCACTTAGATTCACCACATAGGCACGGGACGGCCTCGGGGTCGATCTTTCGAGGAGTTATGTTCTCCTCGCCCTGATTATAATCGAAGGTCAATTCAGTGCCAGGGGAGATATCGCGGTTGGCAAAAAAGGCGAGGTTGTAGAGATATTCGTCGGCATGATTCGTGGTGCAAACGGGGACGATCTTGCAGTTAGGGTTACAAGAGTGGTTCATAAACCGAGTTGCCGAACCAAACTTGCGGCCGTCGATGACTTTCATATTTTTCTCTTCATCGTCGTCATCTTTCACATACCAGTCCAAAGAGAAAAGGTAGGATTGTGTATGTGAACCGTCGGTGAGGTTCTCACGTTCGTCAGCTTCAGCCTTTGTTATTACCTCACCGAGGTAAAGATCGATGAACTGCCCACGGCGAATCAAATCGGGGGACCGAAGACCTAGATATCATGGTTAGAATATATGATGGGTAACGAGGGGATGAAGCGAGACAAACCAAATCCCCGAGATCCAGTGTCGAAAATTTCTAATCTAATGGTTCTTCCTTTTTGAACGACGTGATTCCAGCATCTTTGTCCTCCGCATCCGCAACGGGAGTTGCATTCATAGATAATCGCCTTACGCCGAAGAAAGCTTTTTGTTGCGACAGTCAACTTGGGGTTGCTCTCGCAGATCTCATATGGGACTATGCGATCTTCAGAATCTTCCTCCTTACTGAGGCAGTCACATTTTAACCGATCACAGCCGCCAGTCTCAGTGCATGCACAGCCGATATTGAAATCAGAATCATCAGGAATCCGTTTAACACCCGCACGATACTGATAACTGTTAACAAACTCGAAATTGTCAGCGAGTTTGGCAAGACGCTGTGGGGAATCAACAGTCGGAATGACTGTAGGCCCATTGATACGTTTGAGCTTCTCGTCAAGAGTGTGACGGATCCTTAAGAGGTGGGTTGATTGCGTTGGGGGTGGCTGATTGAGAGCGATCAAAGCTGAACTTGATTTGAATGATAGAGGAATGGAACGACGGTCAACACGGCTTTTAGGAGTAGAATATGCGGCTTTGGCAACTCTTTCCTCTTCGTCGGTTATTGGAAAGAACTTGGCGTTCATTCCATTTACAATAGAGACATCCTGTGCGATCGCATTCTCCCGTTTTTGCTGTGGAGTCGACGATGGAATCACAACACTAATCTGAGATGGTCTGATAGCCGGCAGTGGACTTGGCGTATAAGGGGCATGGTAAGCATGTGAGAGGCGTGCACGCTGTGTAGACCTGTGTACATCACTCAAGGAGGAATCTGAGATATCATCAGATATCACTAGGCTTTTTCTTTTCAACGGTACTGTTGGTGACCGATATGCTAACGCTGCCACAAATGGCAGCTTGCCCTGCACCAAATTCTCTGTCTAGGAGCGATATTTAGTAAGAGTTAGACAAACAGTTATCTTTAGGATCCGGATTGCCGGATCGATGGCTAAATAAACATTTGGCTGGGGGGGGGAGAGAAAAAACCGACGAGACAAAGAAGGGTATAGTGGGGCCATAGGGTCAGGAGAAATGGACTCAAGCAGAGCAGTCTTTGGAAGATCAAGCTAAACGGGCATAAGCACCTACCATCTTAGAGTCATCTGGCTCGGTCTCATCAGTCAAGTCGATTAAAACTCTGTTCCGGATCGCCCCCGAACCAAGGGGGACGCGTCCAGCCATCCTATCAACGCGTGGGCGTTAGAAGGTGACAGGCTTCAGCCCGCGCGAACTATCCTAACTGTAATCTGTTTGGGATATTAGAGACGATAGATGAGGAGAAGAAAGAAAGAAAGGAAAGGCTTTGGAAATCCTTAAAGCATCGAAGACTCGAGGATCCTAACCTAAAAAGGAGAGACAAAGGGAGATAAGAAGATAACAGTGGCGAAATGACAAAAAAAAAGAAACAATATCTCCAAGAGGCACCGGTAAAACTAAAAGTAACTAGAAGAAGATTTGACGTGGGTGGCGGATGGGAGACGTGGTGAAAGATCGAGGCCTGAGGTGGTGAAGAGGTGAGGTTGAGGAAATGAGGACGGGTAAGATCTCGTGGTGGGGCCACTGACAGGTGCTGACTCAGCACTTTTAATGTTATTGATCCTAGCGACAGCCGTCGTTGTTATCTCAATTGAGAGAAAAGCATGTATACATTGTTCTTCTTCTGATATCCAGAATTCCCCAGATTTGAATGATGTCATTTCATCTTGTACATTTCGAGTTCGCTGTGTTCTGGGTTGATAGGGGTATTCTAGTAGGCGGCCGCTGGTTGACGATTAAAAGGAGTGGTTGGGAAGAACGGGATCAGTGTCCAGAATCGTAAGTAGACTTCCGCAAAGCTCGAAAAGCCCGAAACCCGACCCTTTTGAGGGTCGAGTCGGGTCGGGTTTCGGGCTTTTCGAGCTTTGCGGAAGTCTAGTCGTAGCACTGGTTTTAGTGCTGCACTAGCATAATTCTGCTAAGGATCACCTAAAATAGATAGATAAAAAGCTAGCTTATCTTTATAAATTACAGTTTTTTACTTATATATTAGTATTAGGAGGTAATTATAGTCACTCACTACTAAGATTCGTATTAACTTAAGTTTTACTTAAGTTTAAAAAATAGATGAAAGCTTTAAGTGCTATGTTAATATAGATTTATAGTGAAATTAGCCTAAAATAGTAAAGAATTAGTGGTTAAAATTTATATAGAAGAGATTATATGTTACGGACCTACCCGTCACCAATCATTGGTGCCCCACAGATGGGCCACCAAGAGCCAATAGATCTATCTGTCAGCAGATCACGTGCAACACTGTATACACTGGCGTTCCCAGGTATCGAAGGAAAAGGAAGTCCCGATCATTGTTACGGACC